GCCATTGGATGCTCAGGGCCCGCTGCTGCCAGAGCCCCCTGCAGTGTGGCGTGGCTCCAGCTGCCTCAGACCCGGCACCACCTGTGCAGCTCGTCATGGGTCCAGCCCAGCTCGGCCCGGGGTTGTGTGCCTTCAGGCAGCCCTGGGCCACTTCGCCTGTCACCCAGGGCCTGGTGCCCCTTGCAGGGACTGCGTGTTGTGCTGGGCCAGGTCCTGCCTCCACAGGCCCTGTCCTTCATAGGTCTGGCTGCTGGTGGCCACGGTGCCAACAGGAAGGGGTGGGGTGGATGCAGTGGGTTGGAGGAGTCGGTGCATTGCGCGGCCCTGCCTGGCCCTGGCTGCAGCAGAGCAGAGTGAAGCGGGCCACAGACCTTCCTCAGGCTGGTGGGCCGGATACAGCTTGTGGGCCATATTTTGCCCACTCCTGCCTTAGATGCTCTTGGGGACTATGTTGATTTCACTTTTATCAAAGACTCCTTATAGATTTTATTCTCTGGGTGTCAATGACTTATGTAGAGATTGTATTACATAGTGAACTATGATTTCATCTGATCAGTTTTGATCTTTCTTTCCAAGTGAGAAAAGTTTTACTTACCCATATGAGGAATCTGCAGAGGTTTTTTTCCCCTAGTTCAAGTCTATTTTATGTAGTTTTATGATTAAATGTTATCTGAAAATAAATACTGTCCATTTTTTTAAATAAGTAGTATATTTGTCGCATATCCTTTTTATCATATTCAAAGTGTCATATACTCAGATTCATGTCTTATCCCATCAGAGTTTAGCTTTCTTTGAAGAGTTAATGTCTATGATTATTTAATTATGCCAATTTTATAAGATGCTTTTATAAATTATTATGGTTCAGATTAGGGTTCCATTGAAGTCAGTAGACGCTTTAATACTGATTTGAGTGAGACCAGGATTTACTCCTGTGAGATTAAACTGTTTTTTCTCTAGTTATTAAAGGGTGATGATTGTTAATTCTGTTTTATATGGGTTTTTTTGTGAAACTTTCTCTTTTCTCGGACTGAATTTTTTTTTTCCCTTACAGAATCAGTATAGATTTGAAGGAACTGGATTTCCCACTATTCCTCAACTTATAGACCATCATTACACAACAAAACAAGTCATTACAAAGAAATCAGGGGTAGTTCTCCTCAATCCTGTTGTTAAGGTACGTGTATGTGTCAAGTGTTTTATTTAGTAGAAAGTTTTCTGTGTTTCATTTCATGATGTAAACTATGGCTCTCGAAATTAAAAGTGAAAATAATAAACAGTTTGTGGAATGTGTTTCGGCGCAATAATTTAATCAGAACTAGTTAGTCACTGATTTCTTCAGACAGTTCAGTTCTATTAACATTATTACATTATAACATTATTTTTGCTCTCAAAGCCCTTCATATGTTGTTTTTTTGTTATTCGTTCTGCAGTTCCCTTTTCCGTTTTTTAGTTCCTTTTGAGTTCTGCAAATTCTCTTCAATAATCCCTTCTTACTTTTAAAGGTTTATGTAAGCACATGGAAATGAAACTGGGAGCTTGAAACTGATATTGAACAGAAGAATACAATAAACCTTATACAGTGCTCTATCTAAATTTTCAGAAGCATCACAATTTGGGAGAGGGTAATGTTTCTCAATGTTCTTCCAGTAGTTAAGTCTTCAGACATTGGTACCTTTTTTGACACTTTCTCATGTGTCAACCAGCCCTGCATAATGCAGAACTAAATCTTTCTTTTTCCATGTGTATTTAGTCAGAAAAGCCTTCAGATATGTCATTTTACAACATGTAAGCAAGCAGAACAGTAGTCGTTCTTCTTTACTGTAATCCTAGATCTTTTTTCATACTAATATGTAGTAAATAAAGTGATTTCAGTTCTCATTCCCAATAGGGATGTATTGTCTTGGTGTAGTGAAAAAATAGAGGGAGGGATTAAGTTTTGTGGCTGAGTTGCCCTATCATAGCTTGCTGTCTTAATACAGATTGCTACAAGTATCCTGTCTGGAACACCTGACTTTTTATTTTTTGTTATGAAGGCGTGATGCCTTTAAACAATTATAAATTAATATGGTAGACCTAGGTAATATCATAAATAAAAGGTAGCCATGTACACAAACTTTTTAATTTTGAATGACATCAAAGAAAAGCCACAGTTCAAGACAGAAGCTTATATTACTGCAAGTTTTCCTCTCCTTTAACTATGTGGTTAAAATTATACTAGAACTCAGTTGTACATTTGAATTAAACTGTGTTTGTTCTGCTTAGTCTGTAAATAATTTTAACATTTATTGAACTTGATATATAGATGGACAACTGTCCACCTCTAGTTGACATACCTCTTTGCCCTGTTTTATATAGTTCTTGAAATTTAGGAATAAAGGTTTTGGAAGATGCTGATGTAAGTAGAAAAAGAACACTACCAAATGTTCTAGGTTATTCTTTGTAACATTTATGAAATTGAGGAGTCATATATGTTGTACATAAAGTTCTGGTATCCAAATAGAACATGATAGAGTTTAGGATTTTTCTTTTTTAGAAGTGTAAATAAATAAATGTGTTCTGATATAAACAGTCTGGTTTAAGGGAACATTTTCAAGGTTGAAGAGTCCTAAACTTAAATCATTCCCATCTCGACTGTTTGGGAAGTCCTCGTTTTCTGTATGTATTATTTTAAATGTCTAATGCTATACCAAGTTTTTATCTTTCTCTGACTTTCTACAGTATTCTTTATTGCAGTGTCTAAGAGGATTTGAATTTTAAAAAGTCGTAGCCAGAAGTTCTAATCATCTTTAATAATCTACATTAAAAAATCCACTGTAGTATTTGTAGCAGAAGGCCTGGTGCTCCTGCTACTTTAAGAGCATATGAAACAGGTGGTAGGTGTGACAGGAGACAGGAGCCACACAACCTAGAAGAGGGCTGGGCAGGCAGTCTGGCCCTGGAGATTGCTGGGAGAACATCTGGGCAGGATGGCTGCAGCTCTGAAATAATACCAAGGAGATTACAGCCTGTGGTAACATCTGGAGGTTTGGGAGGGTCTAAGGGGAGGTGGAGGTCCTGTAGGGCAGGGAGCAGAGCTAGAACATGGGTGAAGGGTAGGGAAAAGACCCGGGTGAGTCTGGGTGTTCTGAATTGGAACAGAGAGAAGGACCAGAGCAGGTCTGGTGCCTGAGGGGGACCAGAAAGGTCTTATACCTGGGAATAGTGTGGAGATATGAGTCAGGGTGGGCTCAGAGGTAGAACCAGAACAGACTCAGAACCGGGAATAGGACCGGAATGGATGAGAGCTTGCTCAGGAATCCCTGGGGGAGCCTCCCTTTTCTTAAAGGCAGAAGTACATCAAGGCATGGCAGTTGAACAGAATGGGAGGGTCAAGGTAAAACAAGCCACCAGGGGCATGTCCAGACAAGTGCACACATGTGCTTTGCGGCACCTCAGAGGCTTTGGAGGTGCTGTAAAACACATGCAGCGCATGTCATATGATTATCTGCACTTGATATTTACAGCGCAGAGCCAAAATTAGATACCGGAGGGGGAGCTCCAAAAACAAATAGGGACAGTGCATGTGGCTTCAGTGTGCACTACCTGAACCCAGAGCTTGACTGCTGAGAGCCACGCCTTGGCTACTGGCCAGGCTCTGCACACCCAGATCACTGCCTCTTCCAAAACCTTTATTTCCCCAGGGCCCCAGGTAAGCATGCAGGTGCACTCCCCAGGAACAGGTAGCAGTGTCACAACTATGTGTTACTGCTATTTGTTCCTGGGGACACAGACTTGTGTGCTCATCTAGACATGCCCCAGGGGTGTCATGGCCACCCCTGGGACAGACTTTTGTTACAGTATATGAGTGCATAATGAAAGATAATTTAAGGTATTCTTTGATGTGATAGAGGACTGTGTAGTCCACAATAACTCAAGTGTTTCCTTTTTTGGGGGCTAGCTGTGTGTATAAGGGACTTCTTTCAGTACCTGAAATCTAGGATTGTTTTTTAACCAATTTAGTATTGGTTTTTAGTAGTACTAGCGTTATTGGTGTTTGGTTTGATTAATCCATTGCTGGTAGTTTTGTCTAGTTTCCACACTTGTACCCAGTTGCATCCCCAAATCAGTTCCTACTAATTTTTGAGTTGTCACATCTGATCTGGATCTCAAAAGTTTAGTGGGGAGAAACAATTTAAACAGTATATCTTATGCCCTTCAGCCTTCTTGGAGGTGAATGCACATATATATTGTTTAATGTAGCTTGGCAGTAGCCATTCTTCAAATCATTATTCAGCATGTTGAACATGTTATGCCTGAGGCCCAAATAGACATTTATACTTCAGAACACAGGACTGGCAGGGACCTTTTGGGTCATGAAATCTCGTCCCATGCTGGCTCAGAGAAACATTTCATAATCCCCCTCAGAAACTGATCATGCTTCATTGTAATACTGCATAAACTGTTTGCCTCCACTACTTTATATTCATCTCTGTATGCTGTTCCAGGCCCTTACTGCTTTGATGCTTAGCGGCTTTCTTCTAATTTCCATCATAAATATATTCATGATCAGCTTAAAACCCATTTGTTCTTATTTCAAAGTTTATCCTGAGCTTAAATAGTTTTTTCCATGCCCACTTTTAAATAGTTTTTTCCATGCCCCTTGTCACCCATTTTTTGTGAAGGCAAACAAACTATGCTCTTTTAGTTTTCTCTTAAAAATGGAACTATGCTATCCTGTTCTGCTGTCATCCTAATAGCTATTTTCTTAACCTGTTCCAGCAGGAAGTCATCTCTCTTGAATAAGGGTGGCCAGAATTGTTCATAGTATCTAGATAAGGTCCTACCAACAATACCTTGAGCAAAGGTATTAATAATCCCTTGCCTTACCCGATATGTCCAGGAAGATCACGTTTGCCTCACTCATATTGATGTATTTACTCAACAGGGTGAAGTTACACATTACACTTAATTTATACTAACGGTGCCTGAAAGGCAAGTGTCTACATGTTAAAGCTTATTGAAGAGGCCATCCTTAATGGACTGGCCGACGCCAGCATCCTAAGGGATAAGCAGCATGGGTTTGTTGTGGGTAGGTCTTGCTTGACCAATCTCATTTCCTTCTACGACCAAGTGACCTATCACCTGGACAAGGGAGGTGAGATTGATGTCATATATCTTGACTTCAAAAAAGCCTTTGATCTGGTATCCCATGATCACCTCTTGGTGAAACTGGCCAATTGTGGCCTTGGGTCCACCACGATCCGCTGGCTGGGAAATTGGCTCCGTGGTCAGACCCAGAGGGTTGTAATTGATGGCAGTCTCTCATCATGGTGTCCTGTGACCAGTGGGGTCCCTCAAGGCTCTGTCCTTGGACCCATATTGTTCAACATCTTCACTAATGATGTGGACATTAGAGTCACGAGTGGACTGGCTAAGTTCGCCAATGACACCAAACTTTGGGGCAAAGCATCCACACCAGAAGACAGGCAGGTGATCCAGGCTGACCTGGACAGGCTCAGGAAATGGGCGGATGAGAACCTGATGGTGTTTAACACCGAAAAATGCAAGGTTCTCCACCTTGGGTGGAAAAACCGGCAGCATCCTTATAGGCTCGGCAGTGCTACGCTGGCTAGCACTACAGAAGAAAGAGACTTGGGGGTCATCATTGACCACAAGATGAACATGAGCCTGCAATGCGATGCTGCGGCTAGTAAAGTGACCAAAATGCTGGCTTGCATCCATAGATGCAAGCTATCTATGGATGGCTATCTATATCCTTGTATTTCGCACCAGTGACAGGCACTACCTATATAAAGTCCTTCCTCCCTACCTTTTCTATAGCACTGACCATATTCCTCAAGTGTTAGAAACTAGCAACTACCTATCTTAGGTGTTGGAGACCTGACTGAAATCCTGTTCTGCCTGTAAGATACGTAAGTGGCACACACATGGCTTTTAGGTGTCAGTCACAAAATAATTAAGGTATCTAAGTTCCTTATGTACCTTCATTTTTGCATGGAAGGATCACTATTGACTAAACTTGGGCTCTCAGCAAACTCAGAAATGATCCAGAGCAGCCCCCTACGTGTTTAACTCCACATGAGTTCTGCTGTAAGCCAGTTCTATCTGGGAAGCACATTTACTCTGCATGAGTCCCTGATTCTCTTGTAAAATCCTACCGAACTCATTGAAGTT